AAAGCCAAATACAAGGTAGCCCTGTAGAGATTAACATTTGGTTTTACTACAAAAATTAACTGATTGAATTTGTGGATTTCTAAAAAGGATATAAAAGAGTAACTCCACATTTCCCTTGCAAGTGCTGAAGAAAGGAAAACACTTTCTATACTACTCTCAAAGTGGCACATCCTTCTACTACCAGACAGAAATAGCATGGACAACAACCCACTCTTCTCTTACAAAAGGAAACAAAGTCAAGGAAATTTCAAACTAAGAAAAATGGCATCTGTAGTTAAAAAACATACAATGATTAGATCACCTGTGCATATATATACATATATATATAACATTCTGTTAGTGCTGCGTTTAGAAAGTAACAATATAATGTTCTGAAACAAGTGACTTTCCTTGGATTATAAAAATGCTTTTATCAAGATGATACCCTAAAATTCAGAAAAAAACACCAAAACAGAGACCTACCATCAGCTGACTGGGTAAATAAGGCGTAATCTGGGTTAACTATTTCACTGGACAAGATATCAAACCACTCACGTACCACACCCTGCCCCTGCATGTCAGAAAAATTAAGCATATTAGTACATAGAACTTTCACTGCACAAACAGTTACACTGGGTAACCAAGTATTTCTTAATGAAGTATAAAAGTTACTTGAAATTAGGGTTTAGTTCAAAACAATACTGGTGAAAGAGAATTAATATTTCCATATATAAATACCATAAAGGAAAACCATGCAATGTTACCCACCATGCCTTCTTCTCCATGAAATCTCACAGCAATCCCCTGCTTTAGTTTTGCACAATTTGCTTTAGATACAACTTCACAACTACTCCTAAAAATAGAATCTAAAAACAAAGCATCAATTAATTTTTCATGAATTCATTATATTTCCATGTATTTCAAAAATACACTAATTCCAATTCTAACACAATACCTCTGTGAACCAAAAGGATGTCATTTTCATTGACAGGCCTGTGCACCATGTCTGAATCTGGCTGCCCCACATGCAGATGTTCATAGAACCATTCACAGCGATCTTTAAATGGCTACAAAACAAAGGGTAAATCACATTATATAGATAATTGCAACTGAGTCATTCCTCTCTCATAAGCATGACTGGAAAATCATAGAATCGTAGTATGGTGAAGGTTGGAAGGGACCTGAAAGATCATCAGGTTCCAACCTCCCTGCTATGAGCAGGGACACCTCCTACCAGACCAGGCTGCACAAGCCTCCTCCAACCTGCCCTTGAACAGGGATGAGGCAGCCACAACCTCCCCGGGCAACCTGTTCCAGTGCCTTCCTGCCCTAATGAGGAAGAATTTCTTCCTGATGTTTAACCTAAATCTCCCCCCGTTCAGTTTAAAACCATAACCCCTTGTCCTATCACTGCCCTCTCTGGTCAAAAGCCCCTCCCCAGCTTTCCTGTAGCCCTCTCAGATACTGCAAGGCAACTATGAGGTCTCCCTGGAGCCTTCTCTTCTCCAGGCTGAACAGCCTCAACTCCCTCAGCCTGTTTCCAGAGCAGAGCTGCTCCAGGCCTCTCATCATGGCCCTTTCTCCAGACCCTCTCCAACAGCTTCATGTATTTCCTGTGATCATGGCTCCAGAGCTGGACACAGTACTCCAAATTCAATCTACCAGGTGTGCATGTATAGATTTAATAATAGAAAGTTAACTCTGTTTAACTGAAAGCTGGGCTTGTAAGACATATTTAACATTGGTCTTCTCAAATGGATTTACACATACATTTTCAAGAATTAGAAGTACAAAAATCTGGATACCACATCTGTTTAATCTGATCTCTCAACATCCCAGATTCAGAAGTAGTGGAGGTCACACATAATTCTTACATCCTCCTCAAATGGATATACTTTTAGTTATCATTTTTTTAAAACAAGACATCCTTTTTATTTTCATAGAAATTGTAACTAAGCATCTCCTGCCATTTACCTGAGCTTTTATGATGTGCATAAATCTGGACATCAGTTCAGGACACTCAAGAAGAAAATGAAAGTGATCAAAAATTATTTTGGGATTTCTGAAAGAAAATAGGTTAGAAGTCTGTTAGTCAGAGATCTAATAATAATACTTCATAGTACATTAACTCTACATAAATAGACAATGCAATTAGTCATAACTTTCAACAAACTTTTCTATTTTTTTTCTATTTTGTAATGTTTTCCTGACTTTTCCTTTCCTTCATCCACACAAAAAACAAATAACTTACACTACCTCACCCTTTCAACATAGAGGATTACAAGCAGTTCTCCAGACAGAAGCAAGTTTATAAACTAGGCAGTCCCAAAGAAACTCTGGATAAAGCCAAGTGTACAAAGTTGGCTTAGACTCCCTTAAGAAGTTCTTAAGTATAACACATTTGAGGAAGAATGAAAGTGTTCATCTGCCTCAAAAGGGAAGACTTTATTTGGAAAGGAGATGTGGAAAGAATACATTAAGGAAATTATTCTGTTGCTCTATGAAAAAGATTTTATTTATGAAATCTCACAGCATCTCACAAAAGGATTCTTACATATGCAAAGAGTATATTTAAGCCTGAGGGTTTAAATCATTAATATACATTCCCTTGAATTTGGCAGGACCATTAAAGTGCATCTGGGACACATGTCACAATAATAATCTAAAAATACAACTTGGTAAGAATTAAAATATGAGTTTGAATTATTTTTAGGGGAAAAAATAAATTAGAAATTCCCTATTTCTTAAAGCTTACCTGTTAACAAAGCACTTCAGGACATCATCATGTTTACAGACAAATTCTATAAAACGAGGCGACGTCATCCTGTTCAAAAATGGAAAGATGCTTGTGGTTAATGAAATGAAATGGAATTTTAATTACATTAATTGTTGCACTTTATTAATAATATACTATGCAAATAGAAAACGATGGATTTAACTAGTCAGTCATGAAACAAAATACTCACCAGCATTAAGATTTTATAATAAATTAAAATAAAAGGCAAAAATGCCAATACTCAAGTTCAAACAACCTGACCACTAATTGCTACTAACTGTATGAAAGAGAAAAGCTCAAACTAATGAAAATTGACATTTTTCTGTTGAATCCTTTCAGCTCTCAATACAACAATGGAAGCACGTATATGGAAGGCCTGATACCATATGCACAACATACACTCTATGCACACTGTTCCATATTCTTGATCATTGTATAAAACTACCAACATGCACCTTGTAAATTGTGGAAAGTGAGGAAAAGAGACAGGAAAGATAAGATTACACCTTCCCCTCATTATTAAGTTTGCTAAGTTTGCATTAATGCCTTCGTGAAGTAACAAAATTATTTGCCAGACAATCATCTCATAGAATAGTTTTTACATTAGTTTTTAATATTTTTCTCATTTATATATATATATATATATATACACACACAGCAATAGATATCTGGAGAGCAAGGGAAGGATTAACTTGGATGCAAATTTTACTCTAGTTATTTATATCTATGTTCTCATTCTTTTTTTTTTTAAGAGACATTTTTAATTGGATTTTGCATCACCAAAAGCTAATGAATACTTGCAAACAAGAATAAAAACCTCTCAGAAAGTGCCTTGAAAGGTTGTGAAAAATAGTCCTTCAGTAAGTCCACGATAACAATCCTAGAGCTACTGCTGTTCCTCATACCAATTTAGACAAAAGCTGCTCATTTTATATAAAACTGAGTTATTTTCCTTCTGTCCCTTACTGTTTTAAAGAAACAAGTCACACTGTATCTCTCCCCTCATTCACCAAAAAAAACAAAGCAAATAAAATCTTCCAGGAGACTAAATATGAACATTTGAAACACACTTCTGGTCTGAGATGCCCTGAAAGTATTAAACAACTAAGAGTCTTCTCTGAAAGGAAATGTAACTCTCCCTACCTCTGAATTGCCACACAAGATAGAAGATGTAATAAATGGAGAAGAAAGCAGACAAAAGACCCAATACCTAGCATACACTAAACAGTTTTGATGCTGAAAGTGTGAAACATATTTCTGTATATTAACAAAGAATGTCTAGACTCAGTATTAGTACTTGCAAAAGAAAAGCAATTGTGGCAAGTAAAAGAAAACAACCTCAATATTTCAAATGTTAACCAGCATGAAATGCCACCTTTATTGTAGGAATATTAGGAACAATGGGAAACTATAAGCTCTGTTTACTCTCCTCCATGAAACATAGACAGTCAAACCTAAAATCAGAGCCACTTTCAATTATTTTGTCTGAAAATGTCATTTGTTATAATTCCAGCCTCTGTTGGAAGACGGCAACAGTACTGAGTTACACCATTGTGCCATGTACTCCTATGAAAACTTGAGTAAAACAGAGTAAGTCTCAGATCTTTGTACCTTGCACAGTTCTGAAAAAGCCCTGAAGGAACACAGCACTCAGGTGTGCTCTGCCTTACTCTCCTGCATCCCTGGGAGGTGTCACTGCCACAGCTACAATCCTGGCTCCTATGATAATAATTCTCAGTTAAACTGATGCAGTATCCCTGGGAGTTCTCCCTAACCTGAAGAGTAAAAGAGCCACTGGACAAGGCCCACCAGCAAGGCACAGGGAGACAGTCACCTCTCTGATTCAATTTTGGTATAATGAGATACATAGGGGACAGGGTGGAAAGCAGGACTGACTTAATCACTTCTATAAACATTTCCGCTTTTCATTTGCCTGCTGTAAATAAAACTCTTCTGAAATGTTATCTTAGTAAGGTTTGCTGGAGATTTCAAGGGCAATGGTTAAGCAGGTGCTCCTTTTTCAAGGTGGAGTAACATCAAAAGTGAAAGCACTGAGGTGCTTATGGAACATGCTGATCCCCAGATCACCTTCCAGAGTGTCCTCAGAGGATTGTGCCCCAGACAAACAGTGCTGGGCAACCTGAAAGCTTTTGCTCCACTCTGCTTGACAGAGAAAGATAAACCCTTACAGTGTATGGGAATAACCAGAAGTTGCCATGTAATGGGAACCTTGTTTCTAGATCTCTCAGGGAGCTTGTAAGACACCATCACTTGCCTAACATCCTCCATGCAAGAGGGTTAACAGATCCCTTCCTTGCAAGTTCACCAATATAATCCATGAGAACCTTGGACAGACTAAGACCTCAGTTACAGTGGACACCCTTTTTTTCTTTTTAAACCAGACACTGATGGTATTAATTTTATCTAAGTTTTAGCACCTGTTCCATACAAGATTGTGTTTACCAACCTAAGACAGGATTCCAAGAGATCATTACTTGGAAATTGAACTCTCTTCTGCAAGACAGCTAAACAAGTTTTGCCCCAGCTGTTACTTTTATACACACAGATAATTAATTTATTTTTTTTCTGAGCTTATAACTCTTCTTGTTGGATCATCAAATGAAATTCAAGGATATTTTTACATTAAGAACCAACTGAGGTTCAAGAGATCAAATTACATTACCTGCACATATCCCACATGATTACAAAGAGACATTCAGTATGAAATCTGCCCCAAAGCAGCCACAAACTCATAGGCAGCAACACTATGGAAAATTTGCTGGGCTATTTGGTGTCATTAAAGCCAGGAAAAAAAAGAAGCAGCATTCAAATAATTGAACTAATGAAAGCATTAAAAAGCCTACCCTTGACTGTCAGTAATAGACATAGAGACTAATAGTCTCTTCCAAGAAAGCATGTATGATTTTAAAATGGTCACAGTCTAGGTAACAAACAGGATCCTCTTCTTACCCCTGAGGCATCTGACAGGAGCAGCACATATAAAAAGCTTGAATGACAGCACTTAGCCTGTTTGCTGTCATGGAGATAACATCCTGGCAATCAGCACAAGCTTCCTGCTTCCCAGCAACATCGTATGTTTTGGACTCGCCAGCATCAGTGGACAGCTCAGTTCCTGCAGCAGCAAAGGCAGGTGTGGAAGCAGCATCTTGATGATCTGATCCTTTTTGCTTCAGTAAAATAGATGTAATGTTGGCAGAGTCCCTTTTGTTTTTCATCAGCTCCGTGGCTATAAGAACAAGCCATTCATCTAGGGAATGCCAGAGCAGCTCCAGAGGCTGCAGTGAACACATGCAAAACCAGACAAAAAAGGAACGTGTTAGAACTAGGTAATATTAATAATGTCATAATCCTCTTAGGGCAAATAAATATCATGCACATTTAAAAGCTTTAAGTGATCCTTTAGAAGTCACTTTAGAAACAAGAATAAAAGACTTATTAAGAGTTCTGTACTTGCAGCTGTAGAGCACAATGAGAAAATTTCATATAGAATTAAAATAATCAAGCAGAAGATGTAATAAAGATGAGAAGAGTGAACTTAGAAAGAGTGAAACACTGAGCTATTCAACAGTTTGGCCTCACAGTTGTTGCACAGCATGCGGCTGCCTGACTGCTGCAGTCAAGCAGAGAAACAATAATACACATGTTGAATTTCCAGTGCAACAGTCTGTCAGTTCTTTTTTAATGCCCTGGTCAGTGAATCCCCGAGATGGAGCAAACCCCAGATACCACCACTGAGACTCTGACTCATGTGTTTTGAGCTGTATGAGCTCACACTACACAGATTTTGATAGTAGCCCAGCTGCTTCAGGTCTCCAATACCTAGCTTTTATGAACTAGTAAGTAGTATCAGCAGAATCACATATCCATTTTTAAAACTACAAAATTACTTTCATTTTAATTAAGTCACTATTCACTACCAGCAGGTTAAAACTAATATAACTGAGATGTGGTACAATTCCATCATTATATATTTGCTCTGAGGTGCAGGCCAACCACAGAGGACAAAAAGGGCTGTGGCTTTCTCATGAGCATTTAAAAAAAAAACCCAAACACAAGGGCTGACTGTGCTGTCCCTTCATGGTGTTTAAGGGGTGTTTCACAAGCATGTAGTGAATACAGTTATCTGTACCTATAATTCTGACTTAAGCCTTTCATAACATCCCAAAAGTAAGAATCTACATCCAAATGCATTCCTTTTTCCATATATTACTGCTACATCAACATTTTTCACCAATTAAAGCACTCAAAGACTTACCAGGTAGTGAAATATACATTATCATCTTCTAAAGTTGCCTTGAAAAATTAAGAGCTATCTACACCAAACTACATCAGCAGTCAACCCTGCCTGGAGCACTGTCAGTACACCCATGAGCAGTGCCATGCTCTCAGTGCACTATAAATTACTTGTCATTAAAGCTCTGTATTAGAAAATTCTGTTGAAATTTACCACTAAAAAAATTTACACTGGGTTTCCATTTCTTGGCAATAAGAATTCTGGGGATGGCCAGCCGGATTTCTTAGGCTTTGATCAACATACTGTATGACAGTCACTTAATTCTCACCCTAGTGACCACATTTCTCTAGATGGTAATCTGAATACCTCCACTGTAGGTCCATTTTCTACATAAACATCTGTCATACAGGATCAAGTTAGCTTCTTTCCAAGACCTACCTAGGAGACCTTCACCACAAAACATTACATAGAAACCTTCTACAGGAAAACAAAATTCATTTAATATATGGAAGAATTAAAATGCAGCTGTGTTCTTAACATGTAAGTCAGGAGAAACTAAGTAGAATTTTACTACAACACTAAAATGTCATTTTCTTCTCCCAAACTTTTCAATACTTAGCTTGCCAGACACCATTTTTCTGCTGGTGCTTTGCGCTTTATCTTTTATTTCCCAGAGACTACACCTGCCTTTTAGAACTCTTGCAACTGGTTTGTTTTATCAAAGCTAGATTTTCAAAGATTCTGACTACAAGCTCATTCAAAACTACAGTCAAGCATAGCAGCTTCAACAGTTCACTTTCTTTTTTTCCTAGTCTAACTGCAGGATATAAGGCACCCCTGTGAATTTTGCCCATCACCTCCATATCCACAGTGGTCAGCATCTCATGTTAGCATCCACGATCAGAACTTTTCAAGTATAATATGGACATATTCATCAAATCATTAGCAATATCTTTTCAAAACTGCCAGTCAACATTCTTCAGCTGTTATCATCAACCATGCATTAAACGCAAACCTTCACTTCATCTTCAGTTTTCAGAAATACATCTGAGTCTGATTGAGTACCAAGCTTTTACAGCTGCAAACCTCATCTCTCAAACACAAGGACTTGTCTATGCAATACTTTCCTCTTTACCCATCTAGAAAGCAAGATACTAGAAATCAAACCCATATTCAAACTGTAATATTGGAGCAAAATCTTTTGCCAGGTGACAGACAGACTTTTAAGAAACAGGGTGCCATCCACCCTAGGGTGTTGAGAGCTGTTGATGTCATTACAAAGTCACCCTCCATAATCTTTGGGAAGTCACGGAGGTCGGGAGACATCCCTGAGGAGTGGAGGAAGGGTAATGTCACCCCCGTCTATAAGAAGGGTCCAAAGGAGGACCCAGGTAATTATAGATCCATTAGTCTCACTTCAGTCCCTAGGAAAGTCATGGAGCAAATCCTCCAGGGAACAGTCACAAGTCAATTGAAGCAGGTGATTGGGAAAAGCCAACATGGATTTACTAAGGGCAAATCGTGCTTGACAAACCTGATCACCTCCGGTGACAAAGGAATCCGCTCGGATGACGCAGGGCGAGCGGTGGACATCATCTATCTGGACTTCTCCAAGGCTTTTGATACAGTCCCCACAGCCTCCTCCTGGAGAAACTAACTCATTACAGCCTTGACAAGTGGTCTGTGCAGTGGGTGGGGAACTGGCTGACACACCATACCCAGAGGGTGATAGCAAATAGCTCCTCCTCAAACTGGCAACTGGTCAAAAGTGGGGTCCCCCAGGGATCGATATTGGGCCCAATTCTGTTTAACATCTTCATAAGTGACCTGGATGTTGGCATCAAGAGCACCTTGATGAAGTTTGCTGATGACAAGATGAGTGGACAGGCTGACACTCCAGAAGGGAGGGTCACCCTCCAGGATGACCTGGACAGACTGGAGGAGTGGAGTAGCAGGAACCTTATGAACTTAAACAGAGAGAAGTGTAAGGCCTTGGACCTGGTGACACAGGTTTGTTCAGCTTTAAGAGAAGGCTTCAGGGAGTCCTTATTACCATGTTCCAGTACTTAAAGAGTGGCTACCAAGAAGAGGGAGACTCCTTGTTTACAAGGAGTCACATGGAAAAGACAAGGGGTCATGGGCAGAAGTTGCTCCTGGGGAGATTCCAATTGGAAACAAGGGGTTCATTTTTCACCATGAGGACAGTCAAACAAACACTGGAACAGTCTCCCAAGGTAGACACTCCCACGTTGGACAGTTTTAAGTCTCAGCTTGACAGAGTGCTGAGCCACCTCATGTAAACTACAGTAGACAGTACTGTACAGTACTGTACAGTAAACAGTACAGTAGTACTACTACTCCAACCTAGAAAGGTTGGACCAGATGATCCTTGAGGTCCCTTCCAACCTGGCATTCTATGAGTCTATGAACAGTAGTATATGTTTTGTTCATTTAGTAAAAAACATGTTGTTTTCACACAATTAAGAATACTACCAATATTGTCTGGGACAATGGTACCAGTTGTGTAATCTAAGTCTACTGCAAAAGACCTAACTCCATACTGAACTGGGAAACAATCCTTTCAGTACACAAAGTAGTTTGGACACACAGATAAGTGATTCTGCTGAATTATTTTCCATCACAAATTGTAACTGAACTTTTTAAATTGTTTTATAGTGAGTTCTGAAATCATTTGGAGTTAAAAACCATGAAGTCTTCACTTTTTTTTCCTTTCTGGACCATCAGCAAACAAAATGCAAGGAGATGAGATCAGCTACCTCTAAAACCTGGAAGAAAAAAGGTAGCAGAATATATACAAAGAAAGGTAACAAAATACCTCACTGCAGACAGTTCCCGTATTAAATGCATTTAACATCTCCTTGTTATTTAATCTGGTATATTTAAATCAACTTTCACGAAAACTGTTAGAAAATGCTGTCTTTCATTAAATTATTTTTGTGATTTGGGTAGGGCTTTGTTTTTTGAAATTGGAAAACTGGTTAAACTGACAATATGCCCACCTAGCTCAACATATTTTAGTGAACAACCCTAAAGGACAATTGTTATATTGAATGCTGTAAAATGCATTACCTTTTGCACACAGTATTTTTCACGAACAAGTTTTATAGTCATTATATAGATCAATGTTATTAAAACCAGAAAAAAAAACAAAAAAATTTGTGCTTGGTTTTTAAATAGTCCAGCTGAAAACAGCTATAAATCAATAACATTGTGAGGGTAGTAGTAAGCTGGCATGTTTCAAAGCATATAACAAAATGGCAGAACAACCTGGGAAGAAACTTGATGATCACAGTGAAAACAATGAACAGATTAAGAGTTTATTTCCATTTATCCTGTGAAACTGGATAAAACTGAATGATCAGAACTCCCAATGATTCCCCAAATACTATCTTGAAATTGCATTAGTACAATCTATTATATTCATATTACCATTTTTCTATTCATATTACCATTTCATATGACCGTATTACCATTCATATTACTCATTCTGAGATTATTACACTCTCAAATACAATAATAGAAATAAAAATGAAGTTTGCCAAAATCAGCTGAGTAACTAAACCTTCAACATCTAATCAACAATTTATGAAACAAGAAACAAACAGAAATCATAAGATGAGATGTGCATCAGTGGTCAAAAGAATCCAATGGGAAAAATATCATGAAGGAGAAGGAAAGAGGTAGGCTTAACTTAAGAAGGGATAGGGACATCAACCAAACTTACTTCCTGTTCATGAGATGTCTGATTAATGAATGCATGCTTTGTGAAATTCATCTCTTTAAGGTCTATCTTCCTAACAACATCATATACTTTTCTGACCTTGAACACCTGACTTCTTGGAGTTTTATTTCCATTGTAGCCCATGTCATTTCCATTACTGGGAGAGGATGGGCCAATGCAAAAGACATGGCAAAATATCCTCACGATCCTTAAGAGACTCTTCATTTGAGCTTCATAATTACTTGACAAGCTGGGGGGAAAAAATGGTATATTTAAGTTTCTTTTCCTAGATGAAACAATCTAGCATGTTAAGGAGTAAACAATCTGATACACATGCTGAAATAATCCTTAAGTTTTATATCCTCAAGACTTCTAATTTCTCTTTCCTTCACCAGCCCCAAACATCAACCATAAGCACTGTAATTTTACTAACATGTACTCAAAATTTTAACTAGACGTGAAACAGGAACAGCAAATTCCAGATCTTGCCAAATACTTGCTTTGTTTTTAGGCACATGCACACTTCTTATGAACCACTGGTAAGAAATTCAACTAACTACAGTAAGGATCTCAGTTTATTAAGTAAGGATCTCAATGTTTGGAAGAAATTGGGATATCCAATTGAAAAATGTTTTTCAATCCAGCAAATACAGTGTCCAATGATAAAAGTGTACTGACTAACCAGATATGTTGCCACACCTCATCCTCACCTAGCTACTATCCTAGAGACTGTTAGCTACTTAACTAGATAAGTGATGGCACTATTTCTACTCAAGAAAAACATGAACTAAAAGATACTGCATAAAAGCCCCAGTATGCTTTCTATCAGAGCTGACAAACATCAGAAAAGTGTTTGAAGTAACAAAACTCTCCTCAAACATACAAAGAAAGCATGCAGAAAGCAAAGAGTAGAACAGAAGAAAAAAGAATATGGGGGGGAAATGGAATGATTGATTCAAGCATCCCTTCCTTGAGCTGCCATAGCCAAGATAACCAATAAAAAAATACACTTCTGTGCAACTCAAGCTTGTAGGTGTCAGCAGCTATACAAGGACACCAACTTTCCCACCTGAAGTCCTTGTGAACACAGTGATGTAAGCAGGCAGTGTCATACAGATTCAGATTTGAGATCGATCTTCTCCAGCATGTGCCTGGCATGTTTAGATTATTGAAAATATTACATTGCACTAACTACCAGATAGCTTATCAACCTATTTGTGATCTTCTCCCACTTACCTAAGCAGTTTGTGACCATTTGTTGTAGCAACTTCAGCAAGACTTGTTAGGATTTTCAGATACTGACTTTCACTCTGCTGAGACAAGTGTTCCAGAACTTGCCGCAACTGATAGATTAGAAGAAAAGAAATTGCAGTGTCATGGAGCATCAGATCAACATTTCATTTCGTACATTATCATCCAAGCATGAATATCTAGCAGTATTAATGTGGGTCTATATTGTCCAACATCTAATCTAACACCAGTTACCATTTCATTATCATTTACAAAATTACTGAACAGACAGGTTTCAGTGTCAACGCGTGTGCTACGGGCTGTGTATTATTCCAGACTGCTATGAAGGTTTAACCATGTCTCATTAATTCATAACAACTTATCTGCATCTGAAAAATGAGTGGGATATACTTCTGAAAGCTAATACTTTGAGTTTCATAATGCTCCTGTCTCCCCAGTTCACTCCTTGGTTAATTTATGACACAGTGCAAACATACCCTGAATCCTAGAGCTTGCTCTTGTTACTTTTGTTTTTGCTCAAGATATTGAATGTTCTTCCTTCTTCCCTCTTCTCAAAATTGCCTTTTTTTTTTCTAATATCATCACTTGTTTCACAAAGACTGTACGTTGCACATGCCCAGATACTGCCTTGTCTCCAGTTCCTTGGTTCTACACTTTTCTCTAACCTAACTGGTTTCCTGCACATAAATTAAATCTTGGGTGGCACTGGCTCTTCATGCATTCCTATCCCATCCTCCTTTATTCCCCTCTCTCTCACTTTCAGGAAGTTCAGAAATCCTTCTCACTGAACTGCAGAAAGGTGGAATAAAAAGGAATCTCACAAAGGTAATCTACACCAACACCCTGCCCTAAGGCAGAAGCATTTGTATCTGTGATCCAAACTGGCTTGCTCAATTTGCCTGCCTGGTTTTCTGATGTCTTCTACTCTGGAAGCCCTGCAGCTTCACTAAGTGATCTCTTCCAATACTTCACTGTCCTCAACCATGTCAAAGTTTTTCTTCAGGCTTCAGTTGAATCTCTAGCTACAGATGCCTAGGGGTGTATCTTTGTCCTTGCAGTTTTGTTTTTAACTTTTCCAATTTGTTAAGAACACTTAAAATATAACTCCTAACATACGTCCAGGCTTCATGTCATTACTTTCAGATAATATGAACTGGTCATATCCAAGACTTTGTGCAGAACAGCTCAGATTTGGTCACAGAAAATCTTACTTAAAATACACTTCCATTCTGACAATGAAGTTGATTTTTCTTTTATTTGAAAACATCTTTTTTTTTTTTGCATACCTCTCATTCAGATCTTGGTTTTACACACACCTCCATCATTACTCAGACAAACAAAGCATTCATTTTTCCTGTTTATTGTCTTTGCTTCTACAACACACAACAGTATGCTTTGCCATTTACCTTTCTGTAGAACGTCTTTTTTGTTTCATAGTCCTTTGATTTTTCTTTTATTTGAAAACATCTACACTGTCTCCCCATTTCTAATACACACTTTGAGAATTCACACCCCTCTGTCATTTTACTGTGTCAACACTGTTTGTACCCAGAGTTATAAATCCTCAGTCTTGTAGTGGCAGCAATGGGATTACATAGAAAAATCAAATCTTAAAAAATCCAGCAAACCAAGTTCAGTGAAGTGGCAGCCAGTACTTATTAAATCTATTATTTTTTTATTATTAAGTCGCTGTGTAGCTTGCAGTTATTTTCAAGCAAACAATAGATTAAAAACCCACAGCTAGTTAAGATTTGGAAGGGGGAATAAGTATCCCATGCTTCCTTCCCCTACACAATGAAGAAACAAAAATTCTTTTCCTTTTTCTTTGCTTTAGATTGTACTATCCCCCAGTAATAAAAGAAGCACAGTACAGAAGAAGCACTGAAAAAGGAAAAGAGCATTTTCATCTACAGCAGTAATGACCAAAGGAAATTGCAGTTGCAGTCTTTTACACTCTAATTGTACAAGGCAACTTCATACAGATGAGTGCTCAGACTCCCAACATTCAAGCTCATTCTAGATGATTTAAGCCCCAAGGCACATCCCAAATGGGTATCTGCAGATAACCTCTAAAGGAAAGAAAATAGGCCCTATTACACAAAGTAATTGTATATATATATATGTTCTACTAGCATCTTCATATTGACTCTTGCAACAAGTCTGCTCTTTCCATTCTTACACAGTCTAGATGACCTTGGCAAACACCCAGAGTTAGAACACTAAATTAAAGCTGATTTTGCATTTAAACCAAATTATTTTGTTTAAAACTATGTGAAAACTGAACATTTTCCATGAGAGAGGAAAAAAGCAAACAGTGGACACACTGACAGTCAACAGCTGGTAGTGTCTTCTAACCAGGATGCTCATTAAGGAATCAGATCTCCACAACAGAGAGATCAGTAGGTATAAAAACCAGAATACTTCTTACCATGTTTTCCCGTAGATCTTCATTCTGTGTCATTTGAATTATTGTCTGGAAGAGTCTAGGATGGTATTGTATTAAGACTTCACAAGTCTCTCCATACCCACCCTAAAAAATAACAGTTCAAAAACTATCTTAAATAAAAGAAGCATTAGAATTGGGGATTATACTGTTTCAGGCATTAAAACCTATTGAGGATTACTATTGTTTTAATGGGTAAATCCAATATTAAAATAAACTGAAACTCATTCATGTATCAAAGTTAGATATTACAACACTTCTCTCACTATCTCCACTCACATATCTGCTCCCTTTCTTCTGCTTTTTCAAACACTTCCCTACTTAAAAAAACAAAGTTAGATTTGAACACCCCCTAACCTAACACCCGACAATGTATCAGAGATGAACAGAGCAATATTGATCTTCTCTTCCCATTGCTGATGGATGACACACATCCACCCAGTATCTAATCCTTCAAAATAAGTATTTTCTAAAAGGTCCACAGTGTACAAATCTGACTTGTTGAGGGAAGAAAGAAGATGAATTCATGAAAGGATTATTTAACTTTTAAATCAATACAAAAGTATGATTCGACCTGTGCGTTAAACCAACAGCTCACACTGACATCACAATCTTTTGAGAAAGAAGGGTTTTTTGAAAGACCAGAACTTGCATTTGTCATTTATTTGTATCAACACAGTTGCACTTTTAAGCAGGCACCTAACACCTGAATATGTATTAAATCTGACACTGGAAAAAGGACCATGTAATACATTAAATGCTGCAATTCCAGAGGCTTCTCTTTGCATGACAGTTTATAACTCGCTTCAGAGATAATGGATTCATTAAACAGATTAATTTAGTTGTTCCTGGCACTAACAAATTAAGTATAAAATTAAAACTTCCCAGAATCCACAAAAACTAACGGAAGTCAGCTCTTCAAAATCAAGATATATGTATGTATGTAAATATATCATTTCAGTCTTCTAGAAACAAGATTCTCCTCTGAAAAGCAAACCTGTAAGCAAAGAATAAAACTCTTAATGTAAAAGGAAAGAAAAATTTTGGTTTCTCCCTTTTCACTTAGTACCATGAACTTGTAAACTAGATGATCTCAAACACAGTAAGATCATCAAACACCAGGTGTCACTACTCACACAAAAAAAAAAGTTGACAGAATTTCGATTTATAAAGCAGGTGTTCAGGGAGGACTGTAAAACCAGAGTCTGGAGCAGACATTCAAAACACTCACCAGGAAAACTAAGAATAGTACCACTAATTACACAGTGGCCTGTCTTACAGGTCTGTGGCTGTAGAAAGCCTCAACATTTACTAGATTTCATGTGGTTTTATGGCCATTTTTCCAAAATAAAGAAAAAAATAAGCATCTAACCCTAAGCTTCACAGTTGAGTCAGTAGTGTGACAGTGTAGTGACCTGGCACTTCTGAGTGACCAGAGTTAAGGACTTCAGATTTCTTATATCCAAAAAGAAATCCTCCAAACAGCCTAACTTAATCAAGACCTTATACAGTCCATGAAATGAATTTTTCATAGTTAAGCATTCCAAAAATATCCCACAGGTACTGGAGACAGTGGTCTCTACCTCATACACACAGCTACTTCAAATACAGGTCTTACATGAGGAATCTCCAGAAATTAAATAACTTGAGATTAAAATAAACTGCTAGTACAGCAAAAGATCTGAACATTTCAACTCTATCCTGCCAAACTAATGACAGGGACTGAGGTAATGTGATGTCCACTAAGCTCAGTGATTTCTTTTTTAGTCTCCAGTTCAGAGTTTTCTAGTCTGCTGATTACTAGAGCTAAGGTTCAAATGCTTCCATTCATTCATTCTGTTACTTACACAGACTTTAAATTGATTCATAAAAACCTCTAAGTGTTGACAAATCTTTAAAGACTTTTGCAAGTGGTACAAATTTAGAACCTGCCTGTAGGGTCAAAGTGATCACAAGTTATTTTTGCATTTGTTTTGCCAAAGGACTGCCAGCTTTCAAAGGCCTTAAAAGTAAAATCAAAACAATGATCAGGTGACACTGTAGTAAGTGATAGAAGTTCCCAAAAAAGGTGTTGCTAACTCAATACCTGTACACAGAGATCCAGTGGAGTGATGCCATTTTTGTCTGGTAAATATTTGGCTCCTCTCATCAAAAGAATTTGTGCAGTGTCTCTCTGACCATGGCTATCCAAAAGAAGAGAAGAAAGAGTTAATGAAGCACTCATGCTCCACTGAGAGTGATAAATCTGACTTTATTGCATCTAAACCAACAAAACCAAGGCAAGCTAGGAGAAAACAAACAGTTATGGTATGAAGCTAAACAGAAACACAGCATAACGCCTCTTACATTCTTCTACTAGCTTTCAAAGCTAGAGCAGAAGCACAATGCAAAATTAGGTATGCCCCATTTATCAAGCCAGAGTCACCCTCATCATTCAGAAATGATTCATCTTAGCCCAGCCTCATAAATATGTATGAGCTGCATTTTCTGCAAAAGATGATCTCTTTCACAATTCACACCCTAATTTACTTCACAGATAAAGTTTTTCTCACCAAGTTCTTTGCTCACTCATACCAGATTTGACACAAAAAAATAATTGTGCTTTAACCACTAGTATAATTTTTTGATTATTATTGATATGAGATTTTTTTTTGCATAAATTCAATAAATCAGTCCTGACTCCTAATTTTTTTTTAACCAATACATGTTTTGCCTAGTCTTTAAATGTGAAGAGTTTTACTTTTCTATTCAGAGTCTATTTCACACTTCCACTCATCTATTTATAGGTCTTATAGGACACTAATGTTTCCTTTAGTCAAGAATTTCACAAACTATTCCAACAGGACAACATTGCCTAGAAAGAAGTAAGACCAAAGATTATTTATATCCCTCAACACCTAGAACACATAATTTCCAAACCCCTTTCTTCTAAAGAAAATGAGAAATTGGGTACCAGTGGTTACATGTTGAGACATGAAAGGCTGACTATTGTTTTCACCCATACCTAGTGCATATGCCTTCAAATGCAAAAGAGAAGTATCTAAAGGGTGAAACAAAAGACTGCTACAAAGATACAAGTTTTTCAATGAAGTTTTAGATCACAAGCTAGCTGGCAGCATGCCCATTACACAAATGTAGATGAGTATTTGATGTCCTGGAACACACCAAGGCTGCTTGCTTTAACAGTTCAGGAAGGTCACAGGAAAAGTGATAATAGCCAAGGGGTAGGAGGTAGCTTCACTTGCCTCTCAATAGCTCCCAGCTGAGCTGTCTTCGTCCATGTCCTTCCAGACCAGGAAACCAACGAGTTAATCTAATATACTGGACTTTGCCCCAGTGCAAACAAACATTCAGTGCCAGATCTCAGAAAGGAGCTAAGACTAATGGCCTACTTGAAGCCCCCCTTCAGCATAATTCTGCAGACTGAGGGCACAACCCTACACCTTGAAAAAACAGGTGTTTCAGAGTCAGACTTTGAGGACTGACACCCTTTCTCCAGCCATCACCAGTCACTGCTACCACATCCTGCTCTCCTGTCATCAACATCTTACCACCTTTCTTCTCAGGTGGCAGCACCACCAATTCACCACTTTTAACGTAGCAACCTTGACTTCTACACACACTGTTCATCTGACCCTGCCAGCTGCTCCAAATGTTAATTTTTAAAGGAACATCACCACTGTACTTGCAGCACATTCGCTTCTCATGAAAAACTTCCAAGCTGAGGCAAGTTGCTTACTTCTGAAGAGGTTGCCAATACTAGTCCCTAAACAAAGCACCAAGGCATTTGTTTAGCCAGCAGCTATTTATACTTCCCTTCTCAGCTGCCAAGAGTCAGCACACACTAGCTCCAAAGGTCAGGGTCAGCTGCCAAGAGTCAGCACACACTAGCTCCAGAGCTCCAAAGGTCAGGGCTCCCACAACTCTTGGCAGGCCACCAGGCCAGTCCTTTTGTTTATATTAACATTTAATCATAGGTGAATTATCAGGCTGTAACCAAAGCATAAGGATTATAAAATGTTAAATGTTTACCAGGTAGTAGAAATGCTCCAATTAAAAAATAAAAAGTCATTTATAATGTCATTAGTTTTGAAATAAAACTAAACTGTGAAGAAAATAGAACTGATCAAAGGAATGATATAATTTCAATACAACACTAACTTTTATACATGTAAGGCATATTTCGTGTACACATGTAATACCATAAAGTACCTTGCAGAATATTTGTATTTGCCTTACAAAGGGCTGCATTTCTAATTTATTCAAAGTAATCTAGAGTCGATAGATCTCATTTGCTCAGAAAGAAAAAGTTCAGCAGTCATTGATTTATGACTCACGCTATAACATGTTAGTTCATGCTAGAACATGCATGCCTTTGTGTTTAACATGTCTGTTAGAAAAAAGTGTACAAGCCTGCAGTGCTACATGTATTTAGATGAGTCACCAAAATACATTCAAACACGAGGCAAGATTAAATACCAATCAACTTTGATGTTTCCTCTATTTTGTGCTTTCTAATCATTCCTATTGCAAAAGGGGGAAAAAAAAAGAAATCAGTTTCACTTTTAGCAGTATTCAAAAGTTCAGACTATATACCTGCAAGCAAAATAGAGTGGAGTTGCCCCTGATACATTTGGCCTGTTTATATCTGCACCACTGTCTAGCAAACACTGCACCGTCTGGAACAGAAGAAAATACCAGCATTAGAAAAAGAGCAACAGGAAAGTCCATTGGCTTGCAACTATCCAGTGTCATGCATGTCTAATTACACTGAAGGATTTAATTTTCAGTAATGAATCTCAAAACCAACATTCCTAAACACTACATGCCTGTCAGAGTTCATAAAGCTTCCTTTGAACTTCCCATTTTAACAACAATGCCTTTTATTGAACTTCAGCTAATCCCAGAGACCTCTGGAACTACAAGCCATTTAAAAAGGAAAATGACACTTTTTAGAGAAGTAAATCTCAAGTCAGTGACAACCATAAACAGCCTTATCACAAACTGAAGTTTTAAATACACACTACAAGCAAAAAGTAAACAAATTCTAAAATATGAAAACATGGAGAAGACCCTCAAACATGTTTTGCAGTATTCCAGTCACACAGAGTTGACAAATCTATATGTAACAGTTTCCCAGGATTTGGTCTTCCAAATTCTCTGACAATGACAACAGAAAGTCACTGGGTAGAAAGAATTTATGTTTTTTTTTACCAGTCAATACTCCTAGACACAATCAGTGTAATTCCAGATCAGTGTTCTACAGGGCTGTAATGCAGTTCAAGTCAAGCCTGTACTCTAAGAGTAAATAGTCAGTCCACAGGCAAGGCCAGATCTAAAAACTATTCACACAGATCAATAAACAAAGAGTCGACATGAACTTGTTTTAATTCTAATGTTAAATACCTGACTCAACTCTGTTCATTTTTTATTCACAGTAACTTAAGATCATTTCAGATTTTAAAAGCACATTAACAGCTGGCACAATTATTAATCCAATGCATACTGAAAACTAATGAAGAGCATTTTTCAATGTTTAACATTATATCAAAACATGCAACAACCAAGGCAATAACAGTACTATAGAAGAGCTGAATGGTATATAGGAAGTCAACTCCATAAATACTGAAATCAATCATCTCCACAAGAATTAGATTTTCCCATGAAAGTGAATGCAGTCAATATCAGGACAAACAATAGAGGACTCCACACTTCTATTACCATGTACATATACACCTGAAGTGTACAGAAAGACACACACAACACTGAGGCTTTACATAATTCTTCACAAATCCAAAGTGTTAATAAAATTAGGATACTTACTGTCTTGTGTCCATTTTGACAAGCTACATGAAGGGCTGTCTGTCCCATTGCATCTTCAACATCTACGTTGCTGACATGCTGAACCAGATCATGAAGCAATTCTGTTCGTCCATTGACGGCCAACCAGTGAATCTACGTACAAAACGATGACATGTCTCTTTTAGCAGTGACAGAAGTATCTCATAAATATTATTTTAAACCTGTACTACTGTCAATATTTTCACAGAGAGTAGCTTTGAACAATGCTATCACATGCTTAACTACTTTGATCAGATCGTTTTGATTCTTAAGGGCAGGGGACACAAAGCAGTTTTGTTTATGCAGATGTAAGACAGCAGAAGCTTAAAAAATGAGCATCTTCAAATTCTTCATTAATTCAAGAACATAATGAAATAAACAGCACTTACTGCAGTCAAGCCTTCATTATTACAAATGTTGACATCTGCACAGTATTCCAGCAGCTTGCTCATACATTTCTTCTGGCTATAAACAGAACAACACATTAAAACCCAGCCAGGAAAAAAAAAATAAAAATAAAAAATCACTTACAAAGACCAAGTATCTTCTTAGAGCTCCTCTCATTCTAATTCATCATTGTACCAACCCCAGCAGGTAGTTTTACTTTATAAGGAGTACAGTACTGAGCATGTGAAGAGCAGTGATCACCAGTAGCACCAGAGACTCATACAGTGCAAGGGTAACATGTGCCAGCACAGGGCTAAAACACAATTGTGCAGCTGAATGGTTTTGTGGAAAGTGTACTTCACCACCAGGCCAACAGCTTCAGCTCACCATGAACTACACCCCCAAGACATGCAGCTAGAGTTCAGCTAAAGGAAATCCACGCTCATCATCATCTGTACACTTCAGTGAACACATTTACACTACACCACTAAATCATTAAATAATGAGACACTCCACTGTAACACGGTGTAAACCTTTGGCAAATACAACAACTGCCTTAATAAAAGTAGGAGTGTTTTTCCTACTTGATGTTTTGTTTCGTCTTTTAACACTCTCTAATGCTTCAAGTGTTTTACCCTTAAGAGTTTATTCGTACTTTTCTTTTTTGGTTGGTACTTCTCACCTTTCTTATGCCTCCTTTCAACATAACTGCCTCCTGTGTGTATTTCCACATTTCATCATGTACCACCTGGCTGCTTCTTTCTCCCTTCTCCTACAAATACTCCTCCCACATACCTAAAAATGGTAAAAAGACCACCTCCAGCCGTGATACAATTCAGTTACTGTAACACATACATGCTCTAAAAAGAAAAAAGACAACTTTATCATTCCCAGCTGTGTGCTTCCACTTACTCCAATTCGAGAAATTAGATCTTAAAAGATCTGTAAAAGGTGCTGGCTCACTGTTTTGATTTTTCCCTTTCCCCTCCCCTAATACTGTGCATGTAAACTTTGTATTCCTTTCCTTGTAGTAAAAATTTCCTTGGAAACACTATCTGAGAAAAACTTGAAATCTCTGAATCCTTCCTCTTCAAAACCTTTTCTTACTTAGCTAACTGGAAGGTGAGTGCATCCTTTTTTTGATCACTGTTGTAAGAGTCATTAGGCTCCTGCTTAACAGAAACACTATCGTGACTGGCACTTCAGACATAAATCCCTGTTTATATAAAATTATTTCCTGAATATCCAAAGTATGGCTTTTAACCCATACACTCCCTGTTTTCAGATACAAAAACTGTCTGAACCATGCAAAAACTTTCCAGAACACGTCAGCTCAAGCACATTATGCATAAAACCTTCTTAAAGAGTTTTTACAACTTTTTTCTTACCCATTCCTTGCTGCTAAATGGAGAGGTGTGCATCCTGAGATGTCCTGATAATTTGGATTTGCCCCTTTTTTTAATAACAGAACAAGGCATTCAACTGATCCACAGCTAAGAACAAAATGAGGAAGAGAAAAACTGTAACAAGGATATTTACAAGCCAAATCTATATTGACATAAGGACAACAGCAATACAGATTACATTCAGTTGAAAATCTTGACACAAAACTGTTTTTACACCCTCATAATTCAAGTTACACGAAATTAAAGATATTTAAATGCAGTGAGAATTGACTGATCATAACTTGGTCTGATGAAGAGGTGATACCCTCCAATCTGGCTTTAGTGACCCAACAGTGAATCTTTAAGACTGCCAATTGTTTAAAATGTAAACTCTTAAAAATGTTTTGTTCACTATTTCCTCTCACTTCTCTCATCCTTCATCTATTCACAGGGTTGAATTTCCATTAAATAATAATTCCAATATCTTTTTTTGTGTTATGCTTCAGTGTCTGGAAATTCCATTTCAAAGCTTATATATCAGAAAAATTCTAAAACTCCTACAAATACTTCTTTGCTACTTGTTTTGAGTCTGTAACTCCCTTTTCCTTTTACTTAGCAGCTCTTCAGGATAATCAGTGTCACCAAGAATTATATGTTTATCTTACTCCTGAACTCTTCAAGAGGAAGAGCTGAGTGAGAAGATAAACACATTTTTATATTGATCACAACTGGCTTATCCATTGTTCCTAGCCATCCCAAGGGCAGAACTGCTACACAACAACCCAAAGAAACTGAAGATCAGCTGTACAGTAAAGTTGCAAAAACAGTATCTCAACACCCTCTTAATGAAATAACTAGCCAAGATAAGAGAATCCATAAACCAAGTGTAACACAATTTTTTGATTTATGATCAATAAATGCAGCTTTTCAAACACACTTTTAAGATGTACGTTAAAAATTTGCTTGCTTTTTTTTTTTTTTTCCTTGAAGTACTTCCTTAAGCAAATTTCATATAAGCAGCAGGCAATTCTGAGACGGAATGTTTGGGAAACGTTTCTAAAACAGTCTGCCTAGAAAGCTGGAACTCTGCCTTCATTGTAACCAAACACATGCTATTATTTGTGCAAATCTACTACTATTTATTTTTACTTTTTTTAAAACAGTTCAAATGCAACAACTTTTAAGATATTTCAAATGGGACTCAAGTACAGAACTTTCATTCATTAGCTTAAAGTCCAGTTTCCTGAAAAGCTGTTTCAAAAACTATTGGGTCCATTTATATTAAAGTTATGTTAATCTGGCTGTTACTTGGCTATATAAATTGACCCTCATTGAAAAGCTGCATAAATAATCATCTAGGTCACAGATTTTAAATTTGTGCTTCAGTCCCTCACGCAGGACACAAACATTTTTTAGAAGTGAGTGGCTAAGTAGTATCTCCTTCAGTTATAGTCAAATTAAGTACTTCAAAACCACTGCTTTCCAATGAACATCCAAGAGCTTCCCACTGTTTCATAATACTTCAAACACAAGCAGCACCTGCAGAAAAGGTTCCTCTAAACCTACAAAGGCAAGAGGAACCCTATATACAAGATACACATGATGGCTTAATTTCTTCACATATTTCACAGAAAGGAAAAAACTATCCACCAAGACTTTCTTCCCTAGAATTTTGAAAGCCATTTTATACCATGTGTAAAACCTGTCCTCTTGGTGAGGCCAGGAAATTGCTAAAAGCACAAATTAAATACAAAAAAAAAAAAAGTGTAATATCAAAACATTAACTGATACTACAGAGTTTTCCAGCTTACATTGGTGCCTTAGATTTGTGGTAATACTTTCATTGTTAACTTCTGGACTGGACTCAAGTAAGTCTTACTTTGCTGCAATATGAAGCAAACTTCTCTTCACACGTCCAAATGCATAATTCACATCAAATTTTGAATTTGATAGCAGCTCTGAGACAGACCTTCAAACAGATACATAATTTTCATTAAAAAACAGTTAATAATATCCAAGCACAGTATATACTGTAACTTATACACAAGAACTCTATTTCTTACTTGATCACTATTTCTTTTCCCTCCAACTAATTTCTGAACAAGAGACTCAATAGCTTTCAAGCACCTGCATGTTGGGAGTATTTTTACTCTTTCACTTCTTAATTGTACATAAAAGATGAAGTGGGACACTGGGAAACTGTTTCAAATGTAAACTTGCAAGAACTACATAAGATGTAGTGGAAACGTGGAAAACGAGCACATTAACAGCTTTAGTTTGAAAAACAATAAATACCCATTTTTCTCCATATCTCAACACAGACACCCTAAGCAGATATACAGCATCTCTCCCAAACACAAGCAAAATTCAGAAGATTGGTATGTGAAATCACAATGATGAAGCAGAAGGACACATGACATGCCAACAGGATAAGAAATTTAGATAGGACTCTTCAAGCCCTAATGAATTAGTAAAGATAAAATATTAGTTAAGAGAAAATATTTCAAAATAGGCAAAACTGCAAACTCCAGTAATGAGCTGATCACAACTTAAAATCCTTGCACACAATATCAAGATATTATGGAGATAATATTATGCTCCAGATATTATGCTCTTCCTGATTAAATAAGCAGTTCACAGTTTCAGTCAGAGTTACTACTTGCTTGCCTAGAAAACCTAGGGCAGGGTAGCCCCACTTAGCTGGCACTGTCCAGCCCCAGGTCCCAATCACTCTGAGGACAACTGGGAAAGAGAAGCAGCTGCTCATCTGAAGAATCCCAGCATCAATCTCATTGTCCATGTCTTTCAGATGTCTAATGAGACTAAGAGCTTCTATGTTATCAATAAATGCACATTCAGAGTTGCAAACCTGTTAAAAAACAATCCTTTTGTCCCTATCCTAGGACAAATTTCAATATGGGCAATCAACAGAACAAATCCTAGCTCCAGTCTATGGTACAAAACAGACCTCTCAGGTAAGAATATGCTGGGATACACACAGTCAGTGACTAACTTCAGCTACAGAAGCCACAGAGATGAGTGCTCAAGAAGCTACAAGTCCAGCAAACGTGTTTTTTTAAAAAGGAAATGTAAAGAAGCTCTCACCTATGCTGGTCAGCCATAACCATTGGCATCAGTGTATAGACAGCAGTTTCATTGTCTGTGAAGAAATTAAATACTCCATTATCATAAAGAAATATTTTATGTAAAATAAATTAATCTAGTAACTTACTGAACTTTAAAAGTGTTTAAATGTTCAACACGTCATTACTTTTACATAGGGTAAATGCACCTAAAGTTTCATCATATAGAAAAAGCTACCATACTTAAGAGAAAAGAGGTAATTAACAGAACTGCAATACATGAAATTTCAGTGCAGCCTTTTTCCTTTACAAAATCATTATTACAGAATTTGAAATGCAACAGCAATTTCTTTAAATTGACAATTCTGTTAATTAAGTCAAAGAACTTTAGAAATGCACATTAACAAAAAAATGTAAATAGCTTATTTTAAAAAGGAAACTTCCTGTGTTCCAAGGTGAGTTCCACAGTCCTTATACCCAGGAGTCTGTAAAATAAACAAACAAACCAAAACCCACATTTATTTAAACTGTTTACTCTATAACTATTCATTTTTTCTCTCTAAACCTGAACACCTGAATGCAATACATTCCATTTTAATTTCTAATCAGTTTCATATTCCACATTTGAAGGCAATGGAAAAAGAAGATCCAAGTCAATGTGGGAACAGACTGACATTCAGCTGTCAGTAATGCTGCATGTACCAGCATTGCTGCGGGGTATGACATGACTGTTTGGTTACTTAGAGACTTTCTGGAGTAAAATATTAATTTAAAAGAATAACATTAATGTACAATAATTATTATTAATGTCAAATCATATTTTCTAGCTTGCTGCAAATTACCCAGTGTTGGGATTACAGTTTCCACATTCACACTTCATCTTAAGACAGGAGGACCTTCTGAGAGCCTAGGTATTTGGTTCCAGGATGCAGAAATATAGGACTGTTCTTGTAAAACTTCCATTTTTAACTTTTTCCTCATCATCTTAATTGATCCAAATAACAAATTTACAAAGCAATCAAAACAGGAAAAATAAAAACAAGTGTTGCTTCTCATCTCCTGTATATACCCTGCTCCTATACATTAATTACTTCCACCAGTTAGGCAAATATTCACCAAATATTTACCAAACAATTCTTCAGAGTCAGAGAAACCCTTATCATGGTGCAGCTATGCTAGTCATTATTACTCTTCTACAGTGCTCCACAATCAGTGCTGCTACTCACTACCTAAAGCAGTCTGTAGCTAACAAAAGAAAAAAGCAATGCTCATCTATTAGTACCTTTGAACATCAAAAAGAGAGAAGTCATATTGAAATTCAGGTCACATTAATTCTGTTACTTATATAAAATTTTAGAAAATTAAATGCATGTTGCTTACATGGTGGAAGAGACACAAGCCTCTCAAAACACCAAAAACTGTTTCAAAGCTGCAGAGAGTAACTCTAACCATCACCAAGTTCAAAAGTTTGAACTGTCTATTGATTGTTCCCTATGGCAGATCTTTGTGAGCATCAGAGACTAGAATGTGCTGGGGGAAGGGGCAGGCTGGGAGGGAAGGGACACACACAGAGGGAGAGTCCTGGAGATAAACAGATGAGAAGAAGAAAAATAGCAATTATGGAAAAGATCTGATCACTCTTTAAAAATGTATCTATAATTAGCTCCCAGTATATGCAAATGAAAAAAAAAAAAAAATCTTGCTTGAGCTCTGTTTTCCACAGACCTCTTGGCAGGAAGATAATGTTCTCCAACTGAATCCAAGAACAGAAGTTGAGAATGCCAACTAAACCTGAGCATGACATCCCTACACATTATCACAATCATGCCCTATTAAAAAGAAGAGGCCCCCCAAAATATAGTCTTTAAATATACCAGCACAGTTAACTGAAATGCTTAATACTGATCCTTACTAAATTTAACTGTATTCCAAGTATAGCGATCTAGAAAAAGACAGTAATTAAATATGAGTGTAGCTGGGCCACAAAAGGTGTTTATGGTATAGCTACAAAACTAAGCCCTTTACTACTCCATAAACAGAACCTACACTGTGGAGCATATGCAGATTTTTCCCAGAGTTGTTCTGTACAGAAATAATAAAAGAAAAAAGCAATGCTCATCTATTAGTACCTTTGAACATCAAAAAGAGAGAAGTCATATTGAAATTCAGGTCACATTAATTCTGTTACTTATATAAAATTTTAGAAAATTAAATGCATGTTGCTTACATGGTGGAAGAGACACAAGCCTCTCAAAACACCAAAAACTGTTTCAAAGCTGCAGAGAGTAACTCTAACCATCACCAAGTTCAAAAGTTTGAACTGTCTATTGATTGTTCCCTATGGCAGATCTTTGTGAGCATCAGAGACTAGAATGTGCTGGGGGAAGGGGCAGGCTGGGAGGGAAGGGACACACACAGAGGGAGAGTCCTGGAGATAAACAGATGAGAAGAAGAAAAATAGCAATTATGGAAAAGATCTGATCACTCTTTAAAAATGTATCTATAATTAGCTCCCAGTATATGCAAATGAAAAAAAAAAAAAATCTTGCTTGAGCTCTGTTTTCCACAGACCTCTTGGCAGGAAGATAATGTTCTCCAACTGAATCCAAGAACAGAAGTTGAGAATGCCAACTAAACCTGAGCATGACATCCCTACACATTATCAAAATCATGCCCTATTAAAAAGAAGAGGCCCCCCAAAATATAGTCTTTAAATATACCAGCACAGTTAACTGAAATGCTTAATACTGATCCTTACTAAATTTAACTGTATTCCAAGTATAGCGATCTAGAAAAAGACAGTAATTAAATATGAGTGTAGCTGGGCCACAAAAGGTGTTTATGGTATAGCTACAAAACTAAGCCCTTTACTACTCCATAAACAGAACCTACACTGTGGAGCATATGCAGATTTTTCCCAGAGTTGTTCTGTACAGAAATAATTAAAAGGGTGTGGTATTACAGAGCTTTTGTACCTATTTTTGGTAAATATTATCTATATTCATAAACCAAATCTTACTGACTTAAAGTGAAAGTACATGCCACCAGGATGAGAAAAAGCATTATCTGCCTCAAGCACTTACAGAACTTATTTGTGATCTAACTTGCTTGCATTTACGTCATGAATATCTAAAGACAAAAAAAAACAACAACACCCACTCAAAATACAGCCAGAGCCAATAAAGGGTCTAAAACTTTGGGCTGCAAGACCTAGTTTTCAGGTGCTGAGCCTTAACAGTAGAATCCAGAAATTTATGTCAAGCTTTTAAGTGCCTAGAAAAAGTCTGCTGAAGGATACTTCAGGAGAGTAATGAAAAAAAATAATGCTATTTGTTATTGGCAAGGTCAGCTCAGGGTATTCACAAACACTGGACTCAGGTGTTAATACCTACTAAAAAATAAGTAAATAAACCAAACTTAAAATTCATCATCTTGAATCTTGACAAGATACACTCACTATTTTACTGGCTTAAATTTGGCAGAGATCACAATCTTAAAAAAGTGTCAGCACCATCCATATAATACCCTAACAGCTACAGCACAGGAAATGGAAGTTAAGTACCTGGATTTAGTGCCTTCCTCAGCAGCATAAGGAAGTTCAAACATACATCTCCACTTTCTACGAGAGTACTACGATTCTTAATTTACAGATGGTGAGGTAAACTATATGTCTTTAAAGTTAAGGCTGATGTGAGAGGGAAAAAGAAAACGCAATTCAAGAGGCCAGACACAGGACACAAGAAGCCACCAAACTGCATGCCATCCTAGACTGGTGGTGGAAACCCGTCAGTACATGTCTGGAGCAAAACACTACAACCCAAACCTGCTTCTCAAGAAGAGTCTGGGCAGGCCTGCATAAACCTAGAGAATACCAAGGTCAAAAAAGAGGCATAATGAGCCAAGATGCACCCCAAGTTAAAGGCCACTGACTGGAGATTTTCTTGGAATGACAGCTCCAGTGCCTGAAGTCAATTCATCTCCTTATTCAGTTTTTGCTGTGATTTGCTTCATGTAATTCTTACAGAATACATAGTATTGACATTCCTTCTGCAGTATGGGGCAAGAGAAGTACTTGTTCTGGAGGTCACAGGGCTTGCACTTGGACTACCAGAAACACAGTAGTCTGAACTGTAAGATCATAATGCTTAAGACAGGAAGAAAACAGCTGATACCAAACTCAGAATCCATCTGCCTACACTAGCACTGGAGTAAAATTAAAGCAGCTTCAACCAGTGTAGGTTGAGCTAAGCAATATTACCATCATTAATCAGCCAAACCGGTGCTACTACATTATTTTTGCAAGTCTGATCTTTCATTAACACTATTACATCAGCTTTCACTGCTGCTACCCAAGACCTTACAAGAAGCAGCAAAACCCACCAGAAAACCTGCTTGCGATTTTGTGACACTTAGGAGCGACTGCACAGGCAGACGCTGACCCTGCAGACGGGTGACAAGAAGGAAGAGTGGGCAGTCCTTGTGCAACAGGAAGTAGGAAGAGGGAACACAACCACAACACACTCCCTATCCTCCAACAGCAGGGAAGGAGCAGCCCGCCTGAGCCCCCTCCGTGAAAGGAAACCCCGAAGAAAGCACAGTGACACGCACATCACTCCCAAGAACAGAAACCTCTGCACAACCCAACAGCTTCCCCAAGGGGTTGTGCTCCCAAAGGCCGGGCCTGACTGGAACACGAAGCTACTCGGGCATAGGGACCTGAAGCTTTGCTTTGCTAGACCCCCGGGGAGGCGAGCACCCGCCATAGGGAGTTTAGAGCCAATAATAATAATAACAATAAGGCTGTGACAGCGACTGGCAACACCTTTTCAAACAGATTTGCGTCACCCGCGAAGCACGTAGGGAAGGATCGAAAAGAGGGTGGAAAGAGGGTGCAGAGAGGGTCCCGCCAGCCCCGGGAAGCCGCTGCCGGGGCTTTTATCGCCCGCCG